GGGATTTGGAATTTGGGAAATTGGGAATTTGGTGAATTGAGAATTTGGGGAATTAGGAATTTGAGGAATTGGGAATTTGGAGTATAGGGAATTGGGGTATTAGGAAATTAGGAAATTGGGAAATTAGAAAATTAGGAAGTTAGAAAATTACAAATTTTGAATACTTAAAAGTTTGAAAACAGAATTTGGGGGATTTGGAATTTGGGGAATTTGGAATTTGGGAAATTGGGAATTTGGTGAATTGAGAATTTGGGAAATTGGGAATTTGGGGGATCTGGAATTTGAGGATTTGGAAATTTGGGGAATTGGGAATTTGGAGGATTCGGAATTTGGGGAACTGAGGAATAGAGGAATTAGGGAATTGGGGAATTTGGGTATTTGTGAAAGTTGAACTTAGGAATTGTACAACTTGTCTATTTAGGAATTTAGAATTCAGGAACTGGAGAACTTGGTTATTTAAAAATTTGTGAATTGATAACTAAACAATTTGAGATTTAGTTACATTAGGTGAAAGTTGAACTTAGGAATTGTACAACTTGTCTATTTAGAAATTTAGAATTCAGGAACTGGAGAACTTGGTTATTTAAAAATTTGCGAATTGATAATTAAACAATTTGAGATTTAAAAGTAAAAATTCAAGGACTTCAAAATTCACAAATACTTGTAACCTCAACAATTTTAAAAAATGACCTCAACAATCAAAAACTCTCAAAACCTCAAACTTTCAAAACTTCATCCACTCAAAAATATTCGAATTCACACATTGCAAAGTTCAACTTGAAAATCGAAAGCAATTATACAAACTCCTTATCAAACTTGCTATCTTCCTAATCAAACTTCCGCACAAAGCAATTTTCCAAAGTCGAAAATTCTTCCTGTCTAGATAAGGCCTAAAATTTTCCACGCGTTATCCACGGTATCTCGCAACAAGTGCACTCGAGCGACTTCCCGCGTTACACATTCGCTTGTGCACGATGTTCGTATCTCTTCGGAATGATATATCCCGGTTTCCTTGGAATTTCGTCTAATTTAAGCGGGAGAATGGACATCGCGCGATAATTCTTGGCGGCATCCGGCAAGTACGGGTCGATAAGGGGACAGGTCGGCGACGTAGCAACGTAAATCCTTCGTCCTTAGGAAACGCGGCCAGGAGCCCTCTTCCAAGTAAATTCGTCGTGGCCGGCCGTTTTGTCGTGATAAGTTGAAGAGGGCGAGGTCGAAACCGGGCGTAGTTTTAATGTATTCCCGCGCTCGCTCGCGGTTCGCTGATTCATGAATATCGCGTGCGAGCATGAACGCGCCAACGATCGACGACGCACAAACTGCATTCGACTTTGTTGCCTTAATTGTTGGCTCCGGCGCGTTTCTTGTCGCAGTCGTGTAAACGATATGCATGCAACGTGACACGCTTTCGTTTATATTTATATGATTGGTCAGATCAGCGATTACGAGATTATGGGTTTCTTAGGTTAGGCAAGGGCTGGGTCAATGCTAATCTCAGATATAAATTAGCTGGGGTCATTGAGGTAAAGGGAACACTTGTGGGCTTTTTTTTGAAGTTTTACGAGTTTAAGTTTCTGGAGTTTAAGATCTGATCTTCTGTCGCAGAAGATAATAAACTTTTTCAACTTTAGAACTAGTAAAGTCCCAATTTCTTGAAGTACTAAAGTTGAATTTGAGAGTCACAAAGAGTTACGAAAACTTGCAGAGTACAAAGCTTTGAAGTTTGAAGGTTTACAAATTTCTTTGAAGTTTGAAGGTTTTGAGGTTGTTAAGTTTTTACAGTTAAAAGTACTTGAATTTCTAAGTTTGTAAGTTTAAAAATTCAAAAGACTTTGAAGTTTCAATGTTTCAAACTCCTACAGTATACTTTTGATGTCCAAAAAGTTCCTAATCTCCAACATCATGAAATTGTTAGGTTAGGTTAACTTTCAGAGTTTGAAAGTTTCAAATTTTCCATGTCTCAAAGTTTCTAACCTTCTGAACTCTAAAATTCAGAAATGAACTCTAACCTCTAAAGTTCTAAATTTTCTAATTCTTGAAATATCAAAGTCTCTAACCTTTAAAGTCCCAAATTCTCTAATCCCTAAAATACCAAAAGATCTAACCTGCAAAGGCCCAAATTTTCTAATCCCTAAAATACCAAAAGATCCAACCTCCAAAGGCCCAAACTCTCTAATCCCTAAAATACCAAAAGATCTAACCTCCAAGGCCCAAACTCTCTAATCCCTAAAATACCAAAAGATCAAACCTCCAAAGGCTCAAATTGTCTAATCCCTAAAGTACCAAAGTCTCTAACCTCTAAAGTTCTATATTCTCTAAACCTTGAAATACCAAAGTCTCTAACCTCGAAAGTCCCAAATTCTCTAATCCCTGAAATAACAACGCCCCTAACCTCTAAGGTCCCAAATTCTCTAATCCCTGAAATACCAAAGTCCCTAACCTCTAAAGTCCCAAATTCTCTAATCCCTGAAATACCAAAGTCCCCAATCTCTAAAGTCCCAAATATTCTAATCCCTGAAATATCAAACTCCCTAACCTCTAAAGTCCCAAATTCTCTAATCCCAGAAATACCAAAGCCCCTAACCTCGAAAGTCCCAAATTCTCTAATCCCTGAAATACCAAAGCCCCCAACCTCAAAAGTCCCAAATTCTCTAATTCCTGAAATACCAAAGCCCCCAACCTCAAAAGTCCCAAATTCTCTAATTCCTAAAATACCAAAGCCCCCAACCTCGAAAGTCCCAAATTCTCTAATCCCTAAAGTACCAAAGTCCCCAACCTCCAAAGTCCCAAATATTCTAATCCCTAAAATATCAAACTCCCTAACAAAAGGAGTAACTCCCATAAAGTCCCAAATTCCCAAACTTGAAAAACCTCACACCTCTCACCTCAAGTCCCAACCTTAAAATTTTCCACCGCAAAAAGTAACAGATGCGTCTATTGATTTCCTTTCAACCAAACTTTATATACATCCCATTTGAAAGCTGTCAAAACCGTTCACCAAAAAGCTCCGATCAACAAAATTCAATAGTGACTTTACAAAGACAATACATCGATATTCCAGAAACCTTGCGTCAGTTATGAAAGTTATATTCTAGGTCTTCAGACGAAACGACCTAACGTTTACGAGCTCGAGATGAAAATGTTCCTCTCTCTCTCTTTCAACATTCTGCGCAGTTAATCTCTTTTATGGGGATCTCAAAGCGATGTGACAAATAGTTACGACTGAATTTCGTAATATTGCAGCTATCGATTTACATATTCTCGTTGAAGAGACTATTCAGTGAATGTTGAAACAAAAAGGGGGATAAGTGAGGTTAGAATAGGCTAGGTAATAGAATAATGATAAATGGGACTAGATGTTGGAGACTAGACTACTTATGTCATCAGTGTACGAGTCTTATTTTGTTTTGTGGTTTTATAGAGCATGTGTGGTAAACGTATGTGGTAACTGTATTTTTATATCAAGATACTCTTACATTGCCAAACTCTTATGTTTATATACACTTGTATATTTATGTCTCCAAGTTCTATGACTGGATTTCTGAACCCACATATCTGGTGACCTTCATATCTCTACATCCACATATCCCTACATCCCATATGCTCATATCTACATATACGTACATTCTCATACATACTTCATGTACCATATATACAATCACTTTGCCATATACCTACATCCCTGTCCATTAAGCTACCTCTAATCGTCATACCCCTACGTCCTCAAATCCCTACATACATATACTTACGTCCTCATACCCCACATATCCATATTTCTACATCGACATATACCTACATCCCCACATTTTTAAGTGCATTACTCTACATTGCTATATTTCTATGTCCTCAAGTCTCTATGGCGCCATATCTCTGCGTTCCTGTATCCCTACGTCCTCATATCTCTACGTCCCAGTATTTCTACGTCCTCAAATTCCTATATTGCCATATTCCTACCTTCTCAAATTCCTACGTCCCCAAATCCCAACGTCTCCAAATCCCAACGTCCCTAAATCACCACGTCCCCAAATTCCTACGTCCCCATATCTCTACTTCCCCAAATCTCCACGTCCCCAAATCACCACGTCCCCAAATTCCCACGTTCCCAAATCATCACGTCTCCAAATCACCACGTCCCCAAATCCTTACGTCCCCAAATCCCTACGTCCCCAAATTCCTACGTCACCAAATCCCAACGTCCCTAAATCACCACGTCCCCAAATTCCTACGTCCCCATATCTCTACTTCCCCAAATCCCCACGTCCCCAAATCACCACGTCCCCAAATTCCCACATTCCCAAATCACCACGTCTCCAAATCACCACGTCCTCAAATCCCTACGTCCCCAAATTCCTACGTCCCCAAATCCCCACGTCCCCAAATCACCATGTCCCCAAATTCCCACATTCCCAAATCACCACGTCTCCAAATCCCAACGTCCCCAAATTCCTACGTCCCCATATCTCTACGTCCCCAAATCCCTACATCCCCAAATCCCTACATTCCCAAATTCCCACGTCTCCCAATTCCTACGTCCCCATATCTCTACGTCCCCAAATCCTTACATCCCCAAATCCCTACATTCCCAAATTCCAACGTCCCCAAATCCCTACCTCCCCAAATCCCTACCTTCCTAAATCTCCACGTCCTCCAAATCCCTCCACCCCCAAATCCCTACGTCCCCAAATCCCTACATCTCCAAATCTAGAACCCTTGACCTCCCAACCCTTACCACCTCTAGCTCTCAATTGTATAAAACTACAAATCACAAATATTACTCATCAATTTTAACGTTTCATTAAGAGAGATTACAGTTCCAAAAGCGCTGCGTCAGATCTATAAGTCGAAGGTTAAGGAGGGGTTATCCGAAGACCAGCGGGTCAGTTGATCGTTTAACGCGCCCATTCGCGTCCGGTCAATTTATTTTCAACCCAGGTCTCGTAACTTTCAAACTTTTGCCCGATCATCGAGCCGATTTGATTAATAATCTTCTGCCCGCTGAAGGAATCCCCGATTCGCAATTAGGTTAATGGTCAGCCGCCGCTCCTCGCATGCGACTTGATTTCGCGGCTGACGTGTACATTGATACACGAAAGTGTTCTGTTACCAGATGGAACAGATACGTATTACACGATACCAATAATAGGTACGGAGATAAAATGTGTAAATGCGATCGAAATCGAGATACGCTTACGGTAAAGCTTCATTTATAGCGAGAACGATGTGGATAACTGGGGCATTTGTATAATAGGGGATTTTCACTGATTATGCCCTGTACTAATGATTTCTTGTTCGAATAATGGGGGCTCGTGTTCCGGTAAGTGGATTCGAACATGAAATTGGATTATTTGATTTCATAGTTTATACGAATAGTATATAATGCGAAACGATATGCAATAGTTCGAATAACAAAAGGTTCGTGGTACGAATATTGGATTTTATTATATTTCGATACGCAAGATTATGTATTATAGCTTTTACATTTGTGACTTCACTTTGTATATTTTCATATTTTTAATCTGGTAAGCTTTTGACTTCATGAGTTTACTTTTTTGCAAAATCTGGGTTTCTCGAACTTTCATATTCTTAACCTTTCAAATCTTTATATTCTCAGCCCTTTAAATCTTCATATTCCCAATCCTTCAAATCTTCAACCTTTCAAATATTCCATTCTTTTTACATTTCCCTTTATTTTTATATTTTCGGTCCAAAAAATGTTCAAGCTACCAAATCAAAAAATCCGAAACTTGCAAATTTGGATTTTGCAGAGGAACCCATCGTTTCAAAGACGTGGAGAACCTCGCATCGAGGATCGAGGTGGAAAGGGTCGCAGGGCAGCAGAACGAGATATCCTGTCGTGAGGGTACCAATATACAATTCACGTCGGGAACCACCGGCAAACCGAAGGCTGCGTTGCTATCGCACTGGGCTCTCGTGAATAACGCCAGACAGGTAAGATCTTATCGTACCAATCAAATCCATATGTCTTTTATCACGATCCAATCGATCTATCAAACTGTTTCATGTTCGAAGCCCATAAAAATATTAAAACTCAATCATTCGTTTTTATATTGGATCTTTCAAACTGCGGATAACTATAATACTTGAAACTATTTATTTCTGGATTTTCGTATCGAACGTAAATAATGATATCTTTGTTTGTGGATAATTATAGGATTTCGGTATAATTTTTTCGATAGTGAGACTCCATGTGTATATCATAATATGGGTAGATTTTTTTATTTTCATATTTTGTGATTAGTAGACTTCTCAAGGTTTTAATTGGTATATAATTCTCTAGACTAGATTCTTATGTAATTTAGTCTTTAGTATGTGTGCCCATATTGATTGCAAGATTACTATGTCGTTAGATTGCATATGTTCTGATTACGGTATCATTAGGTAGCATTAGATGGGTAGATCTTTCATCTCTAGATTACTGAATCTTTAGATCAGTGTAATAGTCACATCTCCTCTGAGTAGTATTCTTGAAGCCACATATGTGGCGATCTCCATATCCATACGTTCACATATCCCTACATCCACATATCTCTACGTCCACATATCCCTACATCCACATATCCCTACATCCACATATTCTTATATCCACATATCCCTACATCCACATATTCCTATATCCACATATCACTACATCCACATATCCTCACATCCACATATCTCTACGTTCACATATCCCTACATCCACATATCCTCCAATCCACATATCCTCACATTCACATATCTTCACATCCACATATCTCTACATTCACATATCTCTACATTCACATATTCCTATATCCACATATCACTACATCCACATATCTCTACATCCACATATTCCTATATCCACATATCACTACATCCACATATCTCTGCATCCACATATTCCTATATCCACTTATCACTACATCCACATATCCCTACATCCACATATCTCTACGTCCACATATTCTTACATCCACATATCCCTACATTCACATATTCCTATATCCACATATCACTACATCCAAATATCCTCACATCCATATATATCTTCATCCACATATCGTCACATCCAAATATTCCTACATCCACACCTCTACATCGCCATATCTCTACATCCACATATCCCTATATCCACATACGCCTATATCACACATCCCTACATCCCCAAATTCCTACATTGTCAAATTTCTATGCTTCGAAATCTCTGCGACCCCAAATTCCTACGCCCCCAAGTCCCTACATCCCCATATCTCTACATCTCCAAATCCCTACGTCTCCAAATCCCTTCTTCTTCACATCTCTACATCCCCCATTCCCAAATCCCCAAATCCCAAATGACCATCCAAAACACTCCAACACCAAAACCACCAAATGTCCTACCATCCATTAATCCCACCATCCAAATATACTCTCCAGCAAACAACCAGTTACTCACAAAGCCTTCTCATGTTCCAGGCAGCGAAAAGATCGCAGTTCGAGGTGGGACACAAAGCTTGCTTAAGTGTACCGTTCTTCCACGCGTTCGGCATAATTAAAGGTGTGCTATCCTCGTTGAACGCCGGCATCACTCTCGTTCTGCCAGCGCCATCGTTCAATCCCGTGAAATCCTTAGATGCGATCGTCGGAGAGAAATGCAACGTCGTTTACGGTACGCCGACAATGTGGGTAAGGAAAAAAAAACGGCGATTTGAGGACGTCGTACGAGAGGAGAATAAAATTCTCATTCGTTCGTGCAAATAAAGAATCGTTGACGTTTACGATAGATCAATATTCTGGACGTTCATCAACGGCTACAACCACCGCCGATAACTCTGTTTTGTGGCGTCACCGGAGGCTCACCCGCGTCCCCGGAACTCTTCCGGAAAATAAGGGAGTGCTTTCATTTCGACAATATAAAGGTAACGATGATCGCTCGAAACTCCTTTCGAGTTTGCGATTCCGTTCGAGATTCGTTTCGGACTTTATTCGAATTCGAACACCAACTTTCCAGCTCGTCACTTACACCTTGAAGACTCTGCCATATATCAAACGGCAGTCGAACGTAGTATTACGTTTGAATGCCCCGAAAAAGTTCCACACGGTTATAATCTAATCTCGCTGTATACAAAATATCGATTCTTAAGTACGAATTTGCATAGTGAAGGTAAATCGATAGTTTGAATTACAGTTCTTACAACTAGCGATTACTTATCACTTACTGCGCAGAAGATTATTACGTTGCATATTCGTTTCTGAAAATCGATATCTCAAGCAGGGAAATTCGAATGAAACGGAGAACCTGCAGAGTAGTCTCGTTATATGGCACTGTATAGTAAAATCTACATTTCTCAACTTGTGTTTACTAAACATGATATTTATAAAACCTTTTCAGTCAGACGTGTTTACAAGCTGCAACTTCAAAACTTAATAATTAAAAAGTCAAAGAAATGTTTTTATAAAAATTCACATGTATCATACGCGTAACTTGGTAAGAGTTGAAAAATGTTTATATTAAATCATTAAATCGTAGCGTCCCGCAAAATGGCCATATAGCGAGACTCCAAGTAATTCGAAACTCCCGTCAGAATAAAACAGAACAACAGGAATGCAGTTCGAAAGTGTAGATTGAAATCTCTTAACGACCCGTCGATCGATTTCTTCTCGTCTCTTAATTACCAATCCCGACGTAAATGCAACGTACGCAGCTACGAAGAACGGCGTGTCAAGGTGATCGCGTTGGCGGCGCCACGATCTCGACTTTTACGATTAACAGAACATAATACGGTATTCGAGTTAGCGGTAATTTTTCAAGTTTACGCGGTTTTCGTAGTCTGAAATCGAGGGTCGTCGACACGACGTGCTCGTACTTAATTCGTCCCGACATAACGCGTCGCGTTCCACCACGTTATCTATGCACATATCTCTTACGGCAAGCTCCTCGGTTCGTATGCATAAATACGATTCCGCGAGGAGAAATATCGCTTCTTGGCCGCGATCAATAACGTTCTCTTTCGCGAAATCGGGTCCCGAGCTTTCCTAGCTTCGTCCTAAAACGACCAATCGCGTGATGCTTGACAGACGATATACGGCTTGACGGAGACGGCGGCGGTGATCTTTCAATCTTTGCCGAACGAGGACCACCATTTGACGGAGAACACGGTCGGTCACCTGGCGAATCATGTGGAAGCGCTGGTAAATAACTGAATTATGCTGTTGGCGTGACTAAGACCAGGTGGAGAAAAAATATTTAAATTTGGGAAATTAGGGATTTTTGGAGATGTTTGAGAAGGTAGGAATTTGGGGATTTTTGGAGATATTTGAAGTTGTAGGAATTTGAGGGTTTTTGGAGATATTTGAAGTTGTAGGAATTTGAGGGTTTTTGGAGTTATTTGAGAATGTAGGAATTTGAGGGTTTTTGGAGTTATTTGAGAATGTAGGAATTTGGGAAATTAGGGATTTTTGGAGATATTCGAAGTTGTAGGAATTTGAGGATTTTTGGAGATATTTGAGAATGTAGGAATTTGGAGATTTTTGAAGATATTTGAGAATGTAGGAATTTGGGAAATTAGGGATTTTTGGAGATATGTAGGAATTTGGGAAATTAGGGATTTTTGGAGATATTTGAAGTTGTAGGAATTTGGGGGTTTTTGGAACTATTTGAGAATGTAGGAATTTGGGAAATTAGGGATTTTTGGAGACATTTGAAGTTGTAGGAATTTGAGGGTTTTTGGAGTTATTTGAGAATGTAGGAATTTGGGAAATTAGGGATTTTTGGAGATATTTGAAGTTGTAGGAAATTACGGAAATTTGGGAAATTAGGGATTTTTGGAGATATTTGACGTTGTAGGAATTTGAGGGTTTTTGGAATTATTTGAGAATGTAGGAATTTGGGGTTTTTAGAGATATTTGAGAATGTAAGAATTTGGAGATATTGGAACATAGGAAATGAGGAACCTGAGAATGAGCACATTTGCAAAATTTAATAAATCTACTTAATCTACAGAATTTATAAAATGTGAACAATTCAGCAAATTTCCCTAATTTCTCAGCATACCCTCCTCATATCGTTATTTTCCCTAAAGAATACACTACTCTATTATCTTCTGCAATATTCTTCTCTACATCATTTTTCCTAGAGTTCACCTGGTCCACCTTATAAAAGAATTCTAGTCACGTCAATGATCACACACTCATAATTATCAGATCATACTTTCATGTATACTTGTCAAAAGGTTGTAGATGAGAATGGTACACCAGTGCCAATGGGTTCTCCAGGAGAGCTCTGGATCCGCGGCTACTGCAACATGAACGAATACTGGGGAGACGAGAAGAACACTCGAAAAACATTGACCGAAGATGGTTGGCTGAAAACAGGAGATCAGTTCATACTGAGATCGGACGGATATGGACAGATAATCGGGAGATTGAAGGATATGCTGATAAGAGGTGGAGAGAACATCTTCCCGAAGGTATAAGAATTGGCTTTATGATACATTTCTAGGTTTCTGGATTTTTGTATTATTTGGTGTGTAGGTTGTTAGATTTGTCGATGACTAGATCGCTAGATTTGTGGATTAGATTTCTAGATGCCATAGATAGGTAACTTTCAGATAGGTACCTTCTACATTTCTGGGTATCTAGTTTCTAGTTTCTACATATCTAGTTTCAAGGTTTCTTAGATTTCTACATTTTTCGATTTCTAGGTATTCAGATTTGTATATTTCTAGATTCCTATATACTTAGATCTACATTCCCAAATTCCACTCTGCTATTCCTAAATTTCCACATCTCAATTTTCTACATCCACAAACTCACCAGGTCTCTCTAATCCCAAATTTGTAAATCTCCACATCTCTATATCCCCAAATCCTATAATTTCAGCTCATCTATTCCCTATATCCATGTCCACTCTTTCAAAACATATCCCCACATCTTCCAATCTCCACACCTCTAAATTCCAGCACTCCATCCTCCTATACTCCAGCTCTCCTCCTCCAGCTCTCCACATCCTCAGAACTCTACATCCACAAATCTCTATATCTCGAATGATTTGTCATCCTGTAAATCCTGTAAATGTTGCAGGAGGTCGAGGACTTATTGATGACGCACCCGCTGGTGGTCGAGGCGCAAGTTATAAGCGCCTACGACAAAGTCTACGGCGAAGAGATATGCGCCTGCGTGCGCCTAAAAGAAGGCGCGAGTCTCACCAGGGAACAATTGAAGGACTACTGCAAAGGGCGTATCGCGCCCTTCAAAATACCCCGTTACGTGGAGTTCGTCGGCGAATACCCAAAAACAGCCAGCGGGAAAGTGATGAAATACGTTCTGAAACAAAATATGGAGCGGGCCGGGGTGATTCCTGCGACCCCGACTTCCGCTTAAAACTAGTGGGAACGATAAGTCGCTTTATTCGTGGACAGATAATTAATACAATTACGCAAACGTTTGCGAGCGATATGGCGACATGTGCTACTTCAGGTTTTCTTCTTGATACCGTTATCGTGCGGTAGAAGACAAAATGGCGGATAATGGCGTACTGTCTGCTTGTGACAGATGTCGCCACGTGTCCGGACGTTGCGGTTGCTCGGCAACGTAGGAAACTGTTCCTAAAAAGATTATTAATCTTTGCGTTCATTTCGATTTGTACAAACACGTTTATACGATGATATAAGATGTTATCTGAGGATTAAATATAAGTTTGTTTCTGAGGATTCCGTAGACCAAAAGTAACGCGATAGGACGCCTTGTTCGGATTCGCGTTTTCCAAAGACGGCACGTGTCAGCCGTGTTTTTACGAAAACGTGCCTACCAACTGTCGCCGCGAAAAACGTCGATCGGTGATCGATGACATCGCCAGGAAGCGAAGGATAATGACGTGCCAGAAAGGATGGAAGCCGTGGAACGCGAGCATGGAACCGGTAAAGTGGGCATCGAGGAGAGGAAAGGAAGAAAGAAGCCATCGAAAACCGTGGATTCGAGAGGGGCACGTGTTTCAGGTGGCGTCTAATTGAGGATGGATGCTTCGGGCGACGAGTCGTCGCTTCTTCAAGACTGGAAGACCTGGAAGAGGCGTGCATTACCGCGGCAGATGGTGGTCGTGATTGCAGCTGCTCCGCACACGAACACCTGCCGTTTTCTCCGCCGTCTATCGAGATGGACGAAATCACTGTCCAGCCTCCTCCACCTTTCTCCGTTTCTTTGTCCTTTGTACTCTGGAAATCTTGCAATTTTCGATATTTGTTACTACGTGGAATATACATTTTTTACAATTTCATTCTTTAAGGAAATTCAGTAGAGGACTTTGTTTCTTTCACCTTGAAAAACACTGCAATTGACTTCAATTTTTTTGTACTGATGGAATAAAGATTTTTTGAGATGCATGATTCGATATTTGTAACTCGATGAAATAATTTTTTGAGACGAGATTTGATTCTTTAAGGAAGTTATCAGTGGATGAGGGCCTTTGTTTCTTTCATTTTGAAAGACATTGCAGTTGACTTCAATTTTTGCGAAATGATGGAGTGAAGATTTTTTGAGATGCATGATTTGGTTCTTCAAAGATGTTGAATATTAAGATCATTGAATGAGAGACATATGAAACATCTTTGTTGGCCTTCTTCTTTCACCTTGAAAATAAAAAGCACTGCAATTGACTTCAATTTTTATCAAACGATAGAATAAAGATTTTTTGAGATGCATTTGATTTTTCAAAGACGTAGAACATTAAATTCAATGTATTATCTTTTACCCCAAAGATAAAAAGCATTGTTATTGATTTTATTTTTTTACAATGATAGAATAAATATTTTTAACGAAACACGATTTAATTTTTCAAAGACGTTGACTATTAAGACTATTGTAAGAGGGATGCATCATATATAATTGTTAACCTTCTTCTTTTACCCCAAAGATAAAAAGCATCGTTATTGATTTTATTTTTGTACAATGATAGAATAAATATTTTTAATAAAACACGATTTAATTTTTCGAAGACGTTGACTATTAAGACTATTGTAAGAGAATAAAGATTTTTTAAGCTGCACGAGTGAATTTATTTTTCAAGATGACAAACATAGAAGCGAGCAGACATTTTGTACATTCTGCGTCATCAAGTCTAATGATAAATATAGCAGAGTTAGTTTGCATATGAATTTATGTAAATGTGGATGTGTAAATTTTCCATTGAACTTTTCGATCTCGTCTTCCTCGTCCTTGGAGTCTGACAATGAAAGGACTATTGTGAACGATCGTACACGTATGCAATATACATACGATATACATATGTATATAGTGAATATTTCAGGGTTCTGAATACTTATTGGCAATACTGAGATATTGACAATATTATGTTGACATTACGTGAAATCCTAAAATACTGAGAATGTAACATCGTCTTAGGCCTCCATTTTAAGTTCTATACTCTTTCTTTAAATTGCATAACTTATATATTTCTGATTAACTCGATAATCAACCCAACTTTAACTGACCTAACTCAATGTGATTTTAACACAAGTACATATTTCAGGAAGATCGATTAGGAGGCTACTTCAGACGTTCCATACAAATCCGCATATGGAGGTGACCTAATTACGTGTTTGTAAATTTTTAACAATTATAATGGCTCCACTTGACACGTTAACTGCGTGACTAGCTCTGATCCTCATCAGTGCACTTTTTGTTTTAGACCTACTTTCGCATTCAGTTTGTGATTTAGGAGTATAAGCGCCTACTGCCATTTCGTATGCAGATGCAGGGATCAAAGCAAGCGTGGAATCAGAAGGGACGTAGGTGTAACTGAGATTTAGGGGCGACAGGAACCTAGGAGTAGTAGGGACCGATCTAATAGAGATTCTATAAGTTTGAAAGTTGTCTGAGGATAAGAGTGTGGAATTTAGATTTGTATGTTTAGGTAAGCATCTGGAGATCTAGGAATATTTGCAGCTATCTAGAGATACAGATATCTAGGAATATTATATTTAGAGGTCCAGGTATATGCAGCTCTTCAATTGCGGTAACACATCTACCTATAGTATAGCACATACGTACATACATATACTATATGTGTATAGTAAAAATATAGAAATCAACGGATATCAAGAATTTAGCAGTGTACAGGAAGATTGAAATCTGAGCATGCATTAAATAATATTTCAACCATCCTCGACGTATGCAATCGTAAAAATACCCGTCCAAATGTCAAAATAAACGAAGCAGTTAAAATCAGAGCCGTTGCGTTTCCGTCGAAAAGATACAGATGGGAATAGACATTAGATATCGATCGGCGTTCTCCAAGGCTTTGGCCGACGAAAACGCGTATCCCGGATTCTCTCTCGAGAATCGTTGCTTCTCGAGCGAAAGTGATTTCTGCCACGTCGCACAGCGCCGAAACGTTTTCGAACATGGTCCTAGCGCGACAAGGAGAAAGCGAGGGAAGGGAAAAAAGGCAAGAAATAAAGAACAGAGAACCATCTCTGTAGAGATGGTTCGAGGTCGTCTCAGGAGCGGAGGAATTAATTTTGGCGAGCGGCCAGAATGTATACGAGCACGGGACACGAAACACGGGGCGGGAACGAAGGGATGATACTGGCAGCGGAGTAAATTCGGCTCAGAGAGACAGATTCGGCGCGGAAAATTGTACGCGAAAATTGGTGGCATCGTGCTACGGGCCCGACAGCTTAGATAGACGACTATGACCACCAGATTTCTATGACCCACGAAAGGACCTAACGAGCTGTCAAATATCACCATCATCGAGAATCTGTTCCACGATCCTCGATAAACGTCGCTCCACCGCCGCGACGTCTGTTCCTTTGTTAGCCGCTCGTCTTTACAGAATTTCGATTGACTAGACAGACCGCAAGAAGGATATTAGACTACCGTCGTATGTAACATTTATGCATGTGATAATCCAGTTTGCACAAGCACTTGAAGACAGTTCATTAATGGCTGTAGATCATATTTTAATGTGATGAGAATTTCAGCAGTAATTGCATGCATGGCACTATTTTTGTAAATTCAATTTTTTGTCAATTCTTGTACTTTTACTGTACTTGTTTAACTTATAAATATATAAGGTACAATTTTCTGCAAATATTATACTCTGTAATTCTTGTGTATCTTGTTTTTGATTTATTATACAGGGTGCTGCAAAGATAGCGGTACAGGCAGCCATGTTTATTTTCAAAAAAGCAATTAATTTTTCTCAATTTTTGTACTTTTATTAAATTTGTTTATCTTGTAAATATATAAAGTGCAATTCCCTACAGATATTATACTCTATAAATTTTGTATATCTTGTTTTTGATTTATTACACAAGGTGCTACTTAGATAGCGCCACAGACAGCCATGTTTATTTTTAAAAAAGCAATTAATTTCTGTCAAATTTTGCACTTTTATTAAACTTGTTTATCTTGTAAATATATAAAGTGCAATTCCCTACAGATATTATACTCTATAATTTTTGTATATCTTGTTTTTGGTTCATTATACAGACTGCTACAAAGTTAGCGATACAGGTAGCCATGTTTATTTTAAAAAATCAATTAATTTCTGTCAATTTTTGTACTTTTATTATACTTGTTTATTTTATAAATATATAAGATATAATTCCCTGTAAATATTATACTCTATAATTTTTGTATATCTTGTTTTTGATTTGTTATACAGGGTGCTACAAAGTTAGGGGTACAGACAGCCATGTTTATTTTTAAAGAATCAATTAATTTATCTCAATTTTTGCACTGTTATTAAACTTGTTTGTCTTGTAAATATATAAAGTGCAATTCCCTACAGATATTATACTCTATAATTTTTGTATATCTTGTTTTTGATTTATTATACAGGGTGCTACATAGATAGCGGTACAGGCAGCCATGTCTATTTTCAAAAAATCAATTAATTTCTCTCAATTTTTGTACATTTATTATACTTCTTTATTTTACACATATAATAAGGTATAATTCCCTGTAAATATATACGATATAATTCTTGTATATCTTGATTTTCGTTTACTATACAGACTGCTACAAAAATGGCGGTACAGACAGTCAGATGAAGAGCCTTATTTCATGCATAATAATCTTATTACAGTATATGAAAAGCATAATAACATGTTTTAGTTCTCTAGAAAAAATGAAATACCGAATCATAGTAAAGATTATTAATATTTAATGTTTTACAAAATCCAACAGCTCAATACTTATAAAATAAACATGCTATTAATACCGTTGAAAAATACAATATTTCTTTCATCTCTTGACCACTTGCATCCGACATGAATCTAAAACCTCATTTCCGTGCGGTTGACGTTAACGAATTGTTAATTTTACATCAAATAAAAGTCCTTCTCTTTCTCACGAGACTTAACAGAAGCAATTACCCTATGTTTCACGTAAATTCCCGTTTCAATAATTACGAGACTGCATTTAAATATCGAATATGTCGATAGACACATCGTTACACGATTTATCGGTGATCATTACGGTGATTTACTTGTAATACGTCCGATCGGAATAGCTCGTTATCAGAACTTGTACGTGACGTCTATCCGATGTGCATTTTCGATCCCGCCATCTTGCCGAAAAACGGCGCATAATCGATTCGTCGTTTGCCGGCGCTCCGTTTCCGTCGAAGGTTGACGACGCGGCGAACAATAAAGAGGCGAAACGGGAAGATAAAGAATTGAAAGGTAAAGGACAGGTGGCGTGATCGGGGCGGGAGAATAATAGCAGAAATTCCAGAGCAATAGGCGGAGAATGGCGGTAAATTAAATACGGCAGCCCCCGGGGGTGGTTCGTTTAATCGCTTAATCGAGACTTCAGAATGCTCGGCGAAAAGCTCAGGTTCGCTGCGCGCTCGCGTACGAGCTTTTGCTTCGTCTCGATGAAAGCTCTCGAAAGGGTCGGCAATTACTTAAAAACGAAGTTGCTGCGCCACCGTCGCCGTCGTTTTCTTTCTCCGTTCCTCGGTTTCTTCCTTCCAGCCCGGATACTCTTTTCCGCAGCTTTTACGCGGTTTTTCGCCATATCCGCGATCCGAAGGTGGTCCGACGCGGATGGACCCTCTCTATCCCGAATAACGACAGCAATATCCAAATAGTAAAACGAATGGCAGCCAACTGGAGGGTACGGCAAACACTCGAACAGTGGCTGGATCGATGAAAAGGTACGCGAATCGCGGCAACCGACGTAATAAAAGAGTCCGACCGCGTAAACGTAATCCACCTCCTTCCCTCTGTACCTCCCCTCGCCGCCGTTGTCGTTTCGCTGAATTCTTCGCCCGGATTTCGAAAGTCTACCGATGCAGCTGTCCGAAATTTCAACCGTAATCCTGTTCGACCACAACTTTTCCTTACCAATCGAGTCACGCTCCGGTATTTTGCAAGGTGTACCGGTCATTAACGCTCGTGTGGGTTGCTGAAATACTTCTAGTTATAGACTTCACTGTCCTGTGTAGAAATTATTTTCTAGAGGAAAACTCATTGACAGTTTTATTGGGTTTTTGCCTGAGTAAACGAAACTGCGCTTCTGCTATTAAGAGTCTGACGAAATTTTATGTAAAAGTTTTGTGAAGTTATATTCGTTTGAAGCTTTAACGAGTGTATAGAAATGTCATACAGTTTATACAGTTTTTTAGGTTAGTTTGTACAACGTTTTCATATTGAAAATATTAGTGAAAGGTTTGTGTCATTATTTATGACGTATGTCTATTTTGTGATATTAGTTTCATGTTATTAAATAATGCAGCATTGCAGCCATTTTGTGTTCTGTATTCTTACAGTAAAATGATATTATAATTAACTAAGGAAAGAAATTTTTTTAAGAATATAAAAGTACGCATGCTAACTGCCAAGCTAATGTAACCTAACACTACGCTGTTAAAAGTGCAGAATTGCCTTAAAAGTCCTGACACCTAAATCCTGAAAGTCTTGCATTCTTAAAAGTCTTGAGAGTCTTAAAATCTTAAAAGTCCAGAAAATCTTACAAGTC